TATCTGTGTGTGTGTGTGTGTTGTCATGTTCGCTATTCTCAACTTCACAAAGAAAAGCATGACTCTGTGTGTCTCTCCCTCTCTAGAATAACATTTTTTTTAAATTAATCGGGGCCCTTAGAGCCGCACTCTTCACATCCCCCTGGTTAGCCAATTCACTGCATTGCATTGCTTCTGGATCTAATCAACGGCCCCGGCTACCTTCAGCACACCAAACAATGTGCAGACCGTCTTTTAATTTCCCAGCATAAGATCAACCCACTAAAACGTGCTCTTCTGGCAACTACTCCAGCACGTCATTCAACAAACCAAGCACCTTCCTATTCAGCTCTTCCCGCCTTAGAGCATTGAAGTCTTCGCAGATCAATTGAGCTCTCCAACAATCAGAATGAAAGACAAGTGCTCAAGGCCTACTGCCCATAGCTTTGGCGGTTCAACCACCAATACGTCGGAGACTCGGTGATTTCCGCTGCATCATGATATTTTTTGCCGAACCGGCATGGCCTCCAAATCCTTCTTCTTTTTTTTTGCCTGGTGTCACAAGCCATTTCGGTTCGGTAGACCGAGGCCTGAAAGATGCGACACGTTAATGGCCATGTTCACACAAATAGCCTGGAAGAGTACTGCTGGCTCAAGGAAGCGTAACACTTTGCTGCTGAGGGGCTTAGGAGTCGACATCGCTCAAGATATGGCGATTATGAGGGTCTAGGGATGTAGATGAGTTACAAGGGTGGTCGGGTTGGGAGTATTGCGGGGGGCCAGGGGGGAGTGGAACACGTGGCTTGGGGGTTTGAGAGGAAGATTCGGGGTTCAGGGGGTTAGGGTTTAAACTTTAAAATGGTTCGGAAAAGTTTTACACTATTTTTATGGCGTCGAATGTCTACAGGATCAACGAGTTTTAGAGATCTGAGAGGTTCGATCGTTAAGGGGTTTTGGGGTTTAGGGGTTGGCGGCATGCAAAGGAATTACTAGAGGGTTTATGCGCCTCGATGGAGGTTTTTCAGAGGGGTTGCACTTGGGGGGTTAAGACGTTTGGAGCTTTTGGAGGGTGGCGGGCAGGGAAGGGGAAGGGTGACCGGGAGGGTTGGAGGGCTTGGGTTAGCCGCTCAAGTTTCAGATAGCCACTCAAGTTTTTTTTTCCCACTTTTTTTTTCTTTTTTTTTACTGCTCGCCTTTCGTAGATAGCCGAGAAATTTAGAGGGTCACTACACGGCCCCAGCCTTGGAGGATTTCTTTTCATCACCTACGAAAATCCCGGAGGCTCAGAGCCACAGGACCCAAATGGCTGGCGGCACCAGCCGAAAACGAGAAAAAGTGCAGTGCTGCTGAATCGGCAAAGCTTGGAGTGCAGTGCGATGCCGCCAGGCCCGGATGTACTGGTGGTTTAAAGGAGTGGGTGTCACAAGGATGCACAAATTTTCAGCCATTTACGCAGCGCATTTGGCTGAGCGGTACACGTGCGAGGATTTAGTTCCTCGGCAGTGTCTGAAAGTGCCATGCCCGCCCTAAGTGAAGGCGGGCCTGCAAATATGTGCCAATGCCTGTTTATAGGGCTATGAGACCAGGCTGAGGGGCCCAAGCAGAGCCTGTTGTAAACCCCATGTGGGCATGGATCTTCGACGAGGCCTTGTTACGAGTTGGCTCCTTGGCATGCCCTGTAGGGCCCTATCAGCAAGCATGAGCCCGCCCTAAGTGAAGGCGGGCCCCCTGAATTTCAATATGGCCTGAACGTCAAATTTGGTAAAGGTTGGTGGGCGCCAGACGGTTGCCATGCGCCAGTTGGTTACATCCTCCTTACTCGTGAGAATCAGAAATAATTCCTGAGCCTTCTAGGCTCTTCCAGCAGCACAGGCGAAGCAGGGAGAACCTCACGTTTACTCCTGGGTGGTTGGGCAGGCTCAACCAATTCGGTCCCAGGCCACTGTCTGAATGGGCCTAGGCACAGACACTCTGGCCCGATTGGAAGCTACCGGAAGTACACGAGGCCCAGCCAGGGAGCAGACTGGGCGAGCACTTTCCATAAAGGAAAGAGCTCGCCACTGGTGGAGGCATTCGGGCACTAGGCAGTGCATTCGGCAGTGCTGCTCGAGCGTGCGCTCGCAGGCTGTGCGCTGGGCACTAGCGCTAGTTGCCAGGCAGTGCACGCGGGCGCTGGAAGAAGGCAGGGCGCTGCTGACGGCAGCGCCATAGCCAGCCCTACATAGCCAGGGCTTGGCTTGGACAGCCAGTGGAGGTGCTGGTGGTCTTCGTGCATAAGGGAGAAGACGTGGGTGGAAGACAAGGATAGGGAGAGAGTGAAAGAGATGAGGATGATGATGTGAGGGCTCATACCTGGTATTGGCAATGGTCTGCATCTTCAAGTACTTCGGTGGCTGCTGACGTCAACAGTTGCATTGTCAATTCGTAGGCAGGAAGTAGCTGTGTAGGGA